AATAACAATTTTGCAACTGAATCATTCCACTCAGGTAATACAGAAACAACAAATCACCTCCATATGAGTTAAAAATCTTCCTCAATATTTCGACATCAATAATCTACAAGTCATTATTATTACTCATGTCCATTCCAGGCTTTCTGCGTGGAACATAGGGCTTCATTGGTTCCATACTGCCACTTTTAACTGGCCTCAACACTACCCATGTCATCATCACACGGTCTCCTGAGTGTCACTCTCTGACCCATGGCCAGTGGGTTGATTTCCATTCGGGTTTCACTCGACAGTCTGATATACAATGTCAGTCAACAGTCACTCCAGCGTATGTTCAATCCATTTTCATTTTTCCCGTATATTTGTTGAGCAATAGAAGATTCTTGGCTGATTTTCTCCTTACCATCTTTATAAATGGTTTTGTGTAAGGATGTAAGTAATTCGACACTGCTATCCTTAAAAAATGTAAATAGGTGTCTTCTTTCTTAACGTCTCTGAAAATATTCTGTGAATTGTACAACGAGTCAATTTATCATAATTATATTTTTTTTAGTGGTTGTTTATGCAGAGGGTTTTTTCAAAATAATTTTGGTAATATTTCGAGTACAATTACTGCTCGTGATCAAACCAATAATTATTTTTATTCACATATTTATAAAGAGTTTGTCTAGTGATCCACAACGGGAAACTCAATGAGGCGTTCGAAGTAAATACAGGAGTAAGACAAGAAAGCTTACCTATTATCATCGATGATATTCTTAGTTGTGGTAGAGTGACTGGATTATGCGTCAGACTGTTGGGGGTGAAGAGTCAGGAATACGCTGGACGACCAATAAGAAGACTCTAGAAGATCTGGATTTCGCAGATGATATATATATTGTCACACAAATTCGAAGACTTGAAGGTAAAAACCAAAAATACTGCCTGAATAAGCAGCCAGGGAAGACAGGATTCCAAGTGAATATAGAGAAGAAGGGCTGATGAAGTTAACCACGCACCAACAGCAACAACAGCAGCAACAACAACCATCTCCAATCACCATCAGCGGGAGAGATTTAACAGAGCTCACTTCCTCCACTTATCTCACCAGGAAGCATCGTTTCAACTACAGGTAGTCGGAATAGTTGAAGATGTCAAAGCGAGTCAGAATCGGAAAGGCAATATATGCATCCATCAATCTCAAAACAGTTTGGAAATCTTCTGCACTCAGTCAACACCAATGTGAAGTCAGTCAGTTCTTCTATACGGTTCAGAGACTTGTACTGCGTGTAACGAAAAGGATTTCTAACAACCTGTTGCAGACTTTAATCACCAGCTGCCCACTTGGTTGGCTGTATACTGAAGATCAAATGGCTGGTGGAAAGAATGAGCAACAACAAACTATGGGAACACACCAACAAGCAAGAGCCAATCGCTCAACAAATATGTAAGAGAAAATGGAGATGGATCGGGCATACATTGAGGAGACCGTCGAATGACATCGCGCTGAATGCAGGCCATCGCTCGAGTGGAATCCCAATGGAAAGCGATGAGTGGGTCATCGGTGCGAGGGTGACATGAAGGAGATTGTGTGTTGGGGAGGAGGAGATGAGAGAGTTTGGGCAATCGTCGACCCAGTTGAAGAGGATGACAGAAAACAGAAGAAAGTGGAGATGTTTTGTTGAAGCCCTATGTTCCACTTGGAACCCAATGGAACAATAATAATTATTATTTATAAATAGTAATTACACACATATATATGATATGTTTTAATTGTATTTTTTAACACGCTATGACAATTGTTCTGAGTCACCTGTGTCGCATGTGCTGGTGAAGTGAAGTGCGTGGCATTTATGACTTTGATTTTACATTTGCCTAATTAATTAGTCAGACAGTTGTCACGAACTATTTTAGATAGTACATTATTACTGGATCTTCCAATCATGTCAGCTTGTTTCAAGTTGAAGCATGATTCATCAGTGCGTAGACAATAAAATGCCGGTTATTGACACGTCATTGTGCATCGACTCTATCACACGCTGTTGTGCTGCTAATTATGTTGGTCAGTTGCAGTGAGTTTTTTTTAAAAGAAACGTGTAGCTTATAATAAAGAAAGGTGAATACACGAAGTTACTCATTCCCGGGTGACTTATACCTAAAAGATATCTACCAATACCTCAGTGCACATTAAAGAGAAACTTATTCTTCGTTGGAATCCAGGAGGATTAATTATGTCGGTTGGTGAAAGTCTTCAGGAAGCTAGTCAACTGATGTTTTTTCTTTCAAACGACATTGAGTGCAAGTATCGTTTTTGGGTCTGGCTGATAAGACTGTTCAGATTGTAAAGGAATTGAGAGAATAAGCTATGGAAGTACTGGGATTCTGTGAGATTGGGTGGAATGGAAGTGGACTCTTCAGATTGTTAACTGGAGGGTCAATAATCTACTCTGGTCACCCAGGTGACAACCACGAACAAGCTCAGCAAGAAGTTATCATAGCGTTAGCAACAATCTCATAGGCTCTTATGCGGTGGGAACCAATTTACTACAGAATCGTGACACAAGGATTCAACTCGAAAGGAAGGGGAGTAATAATCATACAATGCTACTCTCCTACAAACAATGGAGACCAAGAGAAGAAGGAGAACTTCTATAGACCACTGCAAGCATTAATAGACAGTACCCCAGCAAGATGACGACATCAAAATCCTAATGAGTAGTATTAATATCAGCTTAACTGGCAGCAGAAAACACAGGTCAGGAACGCATGAAGGATACAGAGGTTCATAAATGAGATAAACTTCATTTCAGTATCAAAAAAGTGGGGATGGAACCTACTGGAAATAAGATTGAAAACAACAGCAGAGGTAAGCTCAGATCATTATCTATTACAGAGAACCTTCAAGATGACATTGAATCCCTGCAATAGAGGTGGAGTAAGATCATAATTGAAGTTCAACACACTGAAAATGAAGGATAAATCTACAAAGGACACCCTAAATGAAGTTGCCTGGAGAGAGTTGGAGACATTAAGCAACATTACTGAAGCAACCTGCATGGAAAAACAATGAGACTTTTTGAAAGCAGGAGAGAAGGATAGGCAGGAAAAGAGATAGCTGGTAAACTACCGATACATTTTCAATTGATTTTTACATGATATAAATATGACTGTACAGCTTGAGAAGGAAGTATTTAAAAAGAAATACTGTTTCTCTGAAGCAGTCTTTGTTTCTCTTTATTCAAGAATAAATGGGCATATTTCATCATTTAAAGAATTCTGTTCTAGTTATGAATGCGTTGAAGGAAAAGGACAACGAATGGAAAAGCTTTTTCTGGAAGCACAGATCTGGCGAAAATTGATTCAGTTGTCACTGAACTATATACCTGTTTTCGTTCTCCTTTTACCGGCTAGGCTGAATAATGTTCACGAGCGCGTTTTTAAGTCGGCGCATGGTACGGCCGATGTACTCAGCTCCACCAGAGAGCAAGTAAACTGGTATATGCACGGTGAAGTGGCCCAATGCGACAGCTTGTCTTTCGCGTTTTTGCAGGAAAACCTTAGTCGTGGGGTCACGGCGAAGTATGTCTTCCTCAGAGACTTGCAGAAGCGTTTGCGAAGGATTTCTGCTTCAATGTCACCTTTGAATTCCAGATTAAGTAGAAGTATCTTCTTCGAGACGGACTGAACTTGTTTGGAAGTCTTCTTTGATGTCGACTTTACTCTTGAAGCCGAATCCGACGGAATGTCCCACTTCCTCGACATCCATCTGATAAGAAATGCCAACAACTCTCTGAAAAGGTCCATATACAAAAAGCCCACATGGACTGGACAATTCATCAACTTTCAAACCTTCGTCCTCCTAAGCAGAAAGAGGAACCTGATATAAGCTCTTTCCTCAAGGATTCGGAAGATATGCAGCGAGGAGGTGATTGATGAAGAACTGAGTAACCTCCGAAGAACCCTGATGGAAAACAGTTTTCTGCCTAGGTTCATAGACAAGAACCTCAAATCAAAGAAGACTTCCGAACAAGTTCAATCCGTCCTCAAGAAGATACTTCTACTTAATCTAGAACTCAAAGTTGACAATGAAGCAGAAATCCTTCGTAAACGCCTCGCCAAATCTATGAGGAAGACATACTTCGCCGTGACCCCACGACTAAGGTTTTCCTGCAAGAAAATGTTCAGCCAGAACGCGAAAGACAAGCTGTCGCATTGGGCCACTTCAACGTGCATATACCAGTTTACTTGCTCTCTGGTGGAGCTGAGTACATCGGTCGTACCATGGGCCAACTTGAAAAACGCGCTCGTGAACACTATCCAGCCTGGCTAGTAAAAGGAGAACGAAAACAGGTATATAGTTCAGTGGCAGAACATCTGGTCAATTCAGGACATTCAATGCTATTCGAAAAATCCTTCAAAATAATATACAACATTCGATCAAACCTATCAAAGGGAGTAAAATTAAGACACCAGGGCATAACCGAGGCACTAGCCATCCAAAAGCTCAAACCCACCCTATGTATCCAAAAGAAATACATTCAACCCCTGTCCCTGCCGTGGCCATCATAAACAGGTAATTCTTCTAATAGTGACTATCCCATTGACTTTCTTATCCAAACGTCATGTTTATTCATGTTGTTTTCCACGTTTTTCTTAATCCCTCCTATTTACACTACCATATTTTCATATCCGAACTTCCTGTCTATTTTGTTATTTTATCATTTCTACATATTTAATCCCTGATTGCATAAACAATTATTCGTCACATTAGTTATGATCCCACTAGATTTCATTTTATCCAAACATCCTGTCTATTGTTGTTTATTTCTACATTTCTAACCCCTAACTGCACAATCAATCAATGTCAATCTTCTCAGAAATTTAGATTCGTATAGATCCAAGCCACTGTTGTTGTTTTTGTTTTTATTTTTGTTTATGCTAACAATGATTGGTTAATCGGTGTCAGATATGTGTGCTACTGTGTATATGTGATTTGGCCTTTTCATTTTCTCTCACAGGTTTTCAAACCATTTCATTTATGAATCACTTATTAAAGTGGATGGATGGATGGAGAGTCATAGTGGTGGTATACTCTATTGTATAATTGATTTAAATACAAAATTGGACATCTTGAACATTTAATAAACGAAATAAGACGAACAAACAAACAGACATTTATTTCCATGTATGTTTTTATCAAGATCATTTTTTGTATTGGAGGTCTGTGATATATAATTAATTACATTCCTTCTACTGTCAATTCACAAAAAAATATAAGGGAAAGAAGACGATCAAATGCCTAAAACGCTAATCATCGGCCATGATCAAAACTCGAATACACAACACTCCTATTTTACTTATTGGTGTGATGATGGTGACAAATGGGATTTATTCACTATGCTCACAGGATTATGCCTATTACTGTTGGGATTATGCTGTTCTGTCCTGGAAGTTGGTTATATTCTGTACAGTTATAGTATCGTCTGTTATGGTGTTGGTCTATGGTGTGCTTCCGGCTATTTATTCATTGGTATTCTTGCTACCACATTGTATCAATATGAATCAGTGCCATCGGCAACATTAATGTTAGCCACTGTATTGTGTGATTTCGTGTTCGGTATCATTCTATCGATAATTGCTATCAGTCTTGTAAGCGTTAGTTGTCATCAGGTAGCTGTATTATTCTATGGTATCATATCGATTTGTCTGCTGGTCATAATAATCTCTACTATACATATTATATTTGTGACACGGGAATTACTCAAAGTGAGACGACAATTTTATCGTACAAATTCTGAGTAGTCATTACTACTACTATTATTCTTATTATCAAAAATGAGAAAGAAAGTGGCCGGTTTTTTTTGAAGAATTTCTACAAAAATCGAAATGAGAGAAATTGTTCAATGCATCAATAACAAATGTGGATAATTTGAGATTATGTAGTATATGTCGTAATTACTTTGTTTAAAATAATTAATAATAATAATGATACACCGCCATTTTAATAATGAAAAATGAAGAAAGAGGGATCAGGCTGAAACGTTCAAAGAAGATGCACTTTCTCATGATGTGCTGTTAGTTATTTTGCTCTTTAATATTTTCTTACATATAATTTATAATTTTCTAATAATAAATTTCTTTTGAATTGTTAAATTTCTTCATGAACCAACACCAGTTAGAGAGATCGTTAAAAATCAGGAAGAACTTGACAGTTGTTTCGTCCCACTTCGCGACTCTTCAAAAGTGTGCATCCACTACCCCACTGGAGAGATAGAAGCTGGGAACTTGAATTTAGTGACCTGTGAATTCTAACTTTGTCAGTTCATCATTATAGTGCTACCCTCAATCAATAACTTCAATGGGTATCCAATTCACCTTGACATAGTGGATCCCATCGGTCACATGACTTCTGGTCATAACATTTTCAGGGTATCCATCTAGTAGCCATCACGAATTGACGAAGTTAGAATTCACGAGTCACTGAATCCCAGTTCAAGTGACTGAATAGTCAATGAACTTGACGTTGACCTGGGTGGGGGAATTAGATCAAAGGTGTGAATACCTGAAATAACACTAGTTTGAAATGCAATTAAAACTAAAATGTTTGTGATTAAAATCATAGTTTAATATCAAGTGGCAAAATAATTAATGTCGTATACAGAATAATACATAAGGTGTATTGATTTTGGAAAGGGGTACATAATTATAGGATTAGTAGAATAATATAAAATGTTACATAACATGGTGTGAAATTTGATAAGATTGAATTCAATATTATAAAAATAAAAAATATAAAAATTAATAATTTTGGGTTTAGAATGACAAGTGGGTAAGATTCAGAGTGAGAATAATAATAATAATAATCGTAGTAATAAGGGAAAAGTACATAGAATAACTAAATAAACAAAATAAATGTCTATCCCTCTACGGCCAAGGCAGAAGTAGGGATTGTATATACTTCTTTTGTACACAAAGGTCTGGCTTAAAGTCATGAATTGCCAAGGCCTCAGCCAAAATATATACACCTTATGTATTATTCAATATACGACATTAATTATTTTGCCACTTGACATTAAACCATGATTATAATCACAAATATTTTAATTGCATTTCATACTATTATTATTATTTCATGTATTCACACCTTTGACCTAATTCCCTCACCGGATTTAATTTTTATAATAAAACCATATATATACGATTGTACAGCTTGATAATAAATTCGTTGAAAAGTGTCTCTTCGATGAATATTGTGTTCTTAATGCTACAATAGGAATTATTAAATTAATAATTCAAATCCTCACAAATAATTTAAATATTTCTTTGTTTTATTGATTGATTATTAAGGGCTGAATAGTTTGGGCTAAATTAACTGGATTCATTTATCCTCTAGTCGACTGATGCATTTCAATTGTGTCAGCCATACAACACGTGTGACTGATCCCACTGATTATGCGTGGAAGGTAATTTGATTTGTTGTTGTTTTATGTGTGTGTGTGAGACTATAGTCCATTCAAGTAAGAGGAGAATTTCCACACTGTGATAGGATATAATTCCAGATTAGATGAATTCATTTGATATGACATACAGTAGTGATACAATATTAATAAATGGATGACATTTCAAGCCCATTTCATTACTGGTCATAATGATATCAAAGTAATCACATAGACTGAACTTTCTTTATTAGTGGACAAAGAATATGTTTTTATTTTTTCAATTAATTTGTCATATAAAGTCTTCATTTCATCTTAAGTTACAATCTACGAATATGTAACTCAGACTCTTGACGCTGCGTCATGAAACTTAGATTCAAGTGCTAAGGTTTCCATCTGAATCGGCGATAGTGAAACATCAAAATAATTTTTAAAAGTTTCCTTTACGTTCCCAGTGGAACATAGGGCTTCAAGTTAGAGGCTCGAAGTTTCGGTAGCAGTGGGGATTGCTTTTACAGGCAGGATGGGGTTGCTAGCCTCATGCTCAACCTTTCCTATTTACCAGTCTTATTACTGGCTTAGAGAGGTGAAGAAATGCGTCTGTGGCCAGGGATCGAACCGCGGACCACTTGAGGCTTGGTTGGCGAACATTCTAGGGCTGTGCCACCAACGCACATCAAAATAGTTTGATCACCTATTTTTCTCGATAAGTAGGAAAAACTGTTTCCTTGGTAACAGACTTTATGGTTTGGCTTAATTTCATTATGACATCATCTGTTCTTTTCTCTGTAACTGTATTCGCGTAGTTCTCGAATGAATTTTGTTCACCTTTGGATAAATCATAGAGGATGTAGGAGTTTTCTTTGACAAGTTCTGCTCCAGTTGAAGCATTCACCTCAACAACCTTGATGGACAAACTTAGAAACTTGTTCAGTCCCCTTACCATCATATTTTCCAATTCTTTTTAATAATTCCTATGATCCAGTGGATATATTCCGTGATTTGAAGAAAAGCAAAGACTGTTTGACGGTAAAGGGACTGAACAAGTTTCTACGTTTCTCCATCGAGCTTGCTGTGGTGAGTGCAAAGATTTTCTCCTGGAAGAATTGTCTGAATAAACATGTATATCCCAAAGTATTCTGGAAGCACCTCAGACAAAATCACATATCCCCTAACTCACATACACTCAAACGATACACTGTGAATCACATCGATGCCTTTCGATCAAGACTATTTGTACTGGAGCAGAATATGTCAAAAGCAAAACTCCTACATCCTCTATGATTTATCCAAAGATGAACAAAATTCATTCGAGAACTACACGAATACAGTTACAGAGAAAAGAACAGATGATATCATAATTATATTAAGCCAAAACATAAAGTCTGTTTCCAAAGAAACAGTTTTTCCTACTTATCGAGAAAAATAGTTGATCAATTATTTTGATGTCTCACTGTCGCCAATTCAAATGCATATCTTAGCACTTGAACCTAAGTTCTGTGATGCAACGTCAAAAGTGAATGAGCTGCACACGGAAGTGCAATTGGAGAATGTAGTTAGCTAGATGAATGATCTGATCCCAAACTCTGACACTGTAGCTGAGGATCCTTGCCAAATTTCCTTTGTACTTGGGAATACCCTCAGCTGCAGATTTAGAAGGTGTGATCGAAGGTAAACTAAAGATTGCATATAACACGTTAACTAAAAATAGCTATCCAGAACAGTTCATCATGAGACATATGGCTAAGAAAGTAGAAAAGAATTTTTCTGTATCTGCTAATAAGAAGCCCCTATATATTCAGCTGCAGTTCAAGGGTGGCTTACCAAGTGAAATAATAACCAAGAAATTGAGGTAATCGATTATTCGAGGCACTTTTCATGCTACTTAGCTACAGCTTCCACTTTTCACACGACTAGTTGTCATTCCTCAACTGAAAGGTGAAGCACCTAGGCTAATGACTATTTCTTGTATCTACCAACTCATTCGTTCCTTTGGAGCTAGCTAGCTATATTAGCCTTTGCTCTAAGAACTTACTTTTTTGTGCATGGGAAAACTTATGAGTGTGGCTAAATAAAGGTGTGGTGAAAACCATCAGCCGATCGATATTAGACCACCTGGTTTAAACAGCCCATAAAGCTAGAATTGAAGAATCCTTTTCTATCATCTATCGGATACTTAATGCATTGGTTACAGGATTTCATCATGAGGTGATATCGGTTACAGGACCATTGGAAAACCAATTGGGAGTAGTGAACAGCTGTTTCGTCCTAGTTTGGGGCACCCACCGCAAGGGTCCGAATCCAGGACCATATGGTTACAAGACGAACCCATGGGCTATTAAGCCACTAGGATCCGACCCAATGGCCAGTCAATGAATTCCAAATTCTGCCAATCCATAACATAGCGTGAACACTAGCGAATGTCTTCGGCGAGTATTTGTCCTCACACCCGACCTACTGTACCCTACTGGTCACGACTTCCCACACAAACCCCGGGTAACTACCTACGTGAATAGGGTCAGTTGCTAGTGAGCATCACATTGATATTCAAGTATTGCCCAATAAATTGCAAGAAGCTTCGAGTTACCAAATGCGCTAAACAGCAGAGACCATTATAATTCACTTAAAACAGGTGGAACTCTGTGTTAAAAAAGAAACAGGTTCAGCTATTACGGTTAACCTGACCTGTTGTAGGACTTATAAATCGATAAAATCTCTGCATTATTTTTATTAATTTTTTCTGATATTCACTTTAGTGTTATGTTAATGCAGATTATCTCTCACTGTGGCTTTTTAACAGTAATCCAAAGATACTATTGATTATAACAATAAATCTTTAACTGATAAAAATACCCATTAAAATTTTCGAAAGAATGGATACTGAACAAAGTACTCTTCTCGATAACCCCTTCTTCATCAGGCTCTACAGTTATATATACACATTATAGTGAATGAATGAATTAGTGTTATGAACAACATTAATGCTGTTTAAATAACATCGAATCAATAATATTGATAGATTACAGCTCAATAGAATAAACATAAAATAAGTTGAATGTTAGAAAAATTAGGAAAGATAATATTACAAATTCATGAATTTGTAATCTCTACTGAAGGCCAAGCAGTAGTAGGGGCTGGACTTGCTTCTTTTGAACACAGAGCACTGGTTGTTTGAGGCGAATTGCAATAGCCTCTGCTCTTTGGAGTAAGCGGTGCTTCGACGATTTTGGCAATTTATTAGGCACCCGGTAGATTATGGAGAAGGATTCTTCCACTCTGGCTTTGTGGCCGGTTTGCACTAGATGGGCCAATATCGAACTGCTAATGGTTTTCACTAAACCTTTACTTAACCATAGTGGGATATGTTCCCGATCACGAAAAGTCAAGTTCCTAGAGCAACGGCCAACATAACTCGCTCCACAAGCGCAGTTGAATTGATAAATACAATTTGAAGTGGCCAGTCTAGGTACTTCATCTTTCAGTCGAGGTAGCACCATCGGTCTTATAGAGAATAAGATGTGTAGTTCGCCAGCATTAACAGTCCTGTGAACTGATTTTCTTAACTTCTTTGTAATTAACTCACTTGGTTTATCGCCCTTGAATTGTAGTCGAATATAAAGGGGCTTCTTGTTTGCAGATAGTGGGTAGTCCTTTTCCACTCTCTTTGTCA